TGGTCAGGGCCCAAGTGGTTGAGGCTGGCCTCCAACTTGCCATCCTCCTGCCTCAGCCTCCCCAGCTGCTCTGATGGCAGCGAGGCCACCGCCCGGCTGGCTCCTGTTCTCCCCCCTCTCCTTCCCACTTGCTCCCTCTTCCCATCGCACTTAGTGACCCCCGCTGCCAGCCGTGTCCTGCTTGGCCTTCTCCCCACCCCACTCTGGCAAGGCAAGGCCGTGTGGCCAGGGGCACAGATCATGTGCTGTCACTTCCCAGAGGACAGCGGCTTGCGCTCCTCATGGCCTGCATTGGGCATGTCCAGGGCCACGCAGCCTCCTGGAGAGGCCTCCCGCCCAGAGCCACCCGAGCCGTCCAGCCCTGGGATGGTGCGGCCCCCAGGGACAGAATGGGACCGTGGACCTTTGTCACCCGGGGTGTGGAGTATTGGGGACCTCTGTCACTCATGGCTGCAGACCATGTGTTGGGGACAGAGACAGAGACAGAGAGAGAGGGACACAGGGCCAGAGGCAGGGGGCGTGAGCTCCTCTGGTCCCCTGCTCCCCGCTCTGGGAGCTGTTTCATTTGGGCCATGGGCAGGAGGTGACCGCGGCAGGGCCTGTCCCTTGGCCAGGGAACGCGGGATCAGCGCAGGACCGGGGGCAAGGCCAAGACTCGGGGGCACTCACATTTCGGAGACTTGGACGTAGTTGGGGGGACACGTGAAGCGCAGGCAGCGGAAGCCGCCCTGGATGTTGAAACAGGTCTCGGCCGCGGAGCAGTTGTGGGTGCCCAGGGCACATTCGTCCAGGTCTGTGGGGACAGGAGGGGCAGTGAGGGGGCTCCCAGGACCCAGCCTGAGACAGACCACGGAGTCTGGCCTCCTCTGCGCCCTCCCCTGCACACCTGGACAGCCAGCAGCCTGACCTGACCCCCGGGCCTTTGCACATGCTTCACAGCAGTTACGACAGCTTCTCCGCATCTTCCCTCACTGGCTCCCACTCACGCCCAGGCCTTGGGTGCCACGTCCCTCCTGCAGGATGGCCCACCAGGCTACCCCCCTGCCGTCCCCACTGCCCCGACCCCGTGCTTGTCCCTGAACCACTGTCACCGTCTGTCACCCTCTGACACACACCAAGGCTGCTGTGTGGCTGTCCCGCCCGTCCCAGGCACCCAGAAGGACCAATGGCCGCCAAGGGCAGCCGCTCCCCACGTGCTTCTGGACACACGCCGGGCCCTGCCTGGGGACACGCAGCGCAGCCGCACAGGGCCCCGCCAGACGGGACACTCCAGCTCCCGGAACACGGCCTGTGCGGAACCCGGGGACACACGGCCACCACACGCACGCATGGGCTCTGCGGCACCCACAGGGGCGTGGGGACGGCCACTCAGGGCTCTGCAGCTCACAGGCCCAGACAGACCCACAGACATGCCGACCCAGAAAAGGCTCAGAGCAGCGTGTGTGAGACAGACAGACGGATGGACGGACCCAGGCACCCAGCCACTTGGTGCAGAAAGGACAGTCCTAGGAGGCCCCAGGGGCTGTCCCCAGATGACCCCTGGAGCGCTCCACAGTGACTCCCGAGAGCTTGCCCTGGCCCAGTCCACCCCCAAC